TCTTCCACACTAGAAGATAAAATGTTAGACTGGTCAACCCTTTGCAAGGTACTTGTAAGGAAGGAATCAATCACCTACGGAAAGTTCAGACTACATTAACTCCTTCCCAGCCCTATGGTTTTGTGGAACTAAATGTATCCCATGCTTATTTAGACACACATTTCTGTTTTTTCTTTATTTCCAATGCATTTCCCAGTAAAAATATGCATCATAAGATTATCTAGTATCCTATCTAGAAGGTTTGAATTAATGTACATAAAAAGTCCACTGCTCTTATAAAGAACACTATCGGGTATAGAAACAGAAGTTAGTTGATTCTTCAGTACAAAGTTTCAAACATGTGTTGAGGAGAGAGATTTGGGTAGAATGAGACTTCCTAATGCAGTTTTAATAGCTGTGTTTATAACTATTTCACCATGCAATTTCAATATCTCAGTGTAATGTGTAATTAATTTCATGAAAAGCATGTTTAATATTAATTGAAAAAATTTGTACTCTATAATTTTGCAGAAGACATAACATGCATATACTTAAATATGTCAGAGGTGAATAGTTACACATTATATATTCATGAGTATTGCATTCCTGTGTTGACAACAATGGTATTGTACATAATGCATGGGATCCCAGAAAGAAATGTAAGGTTTTAAGGAATTAGCCTACAGGTTATCAAGAAATTTATAGAGCAACCTTATACAATTCAGTGTGGAGGAGTAGAGAGACAACTATTTTCAAATAATCTTTAAGAAAGTGAGTTCCCTTTCACCAGAATTCAAAACTAAATGAACCCACTATGTTTGAATTGAATGCCAAGCACAACACATTTATATGAAGAGTAAACGCTTTTATAATCTTTATTATCTTTTCACTTACAAAAGAGTTGTGAAATATATTACCTTCTTTGAAATCCCCAACGACTCTCTAAGGCTGATTGGTCAAGTATCATTATATTCATTTCAGAGATAAGAAAACTGTGGCTTAGAAAATGGTACTTTTCCTCAAGTTCAGAATGCTAACTATTAACAAAGACAAGACAGGAACCTAGATTCCCTGTACCATCTAGCCTGGGGCCTGGAAAAGAGTAGGTACCTGCTGAATATATGTTGACCACATTTATTGAAAATTTGGTTATAAGTTAGAGCACTCTGTCCCCTTCATATCCCACTGTGTTAAAATGGCTTTGCAAATGAAAGTGGTGTCCTCTGGAAAACTTCATTTAAAAGAGCTGATGACTTCAGGTTTGGCTAACTAGGTAACAGAAGTATCTTATGAATTCAAACAAGCACGGGTTTCAAATATGTTTGTTGGTTTTTAAATTAGTGGGTCATCCTCATTTAGTGAGATTGGGGAAGTTTCTGCAGCAAAGACTTACTAAATTGTACCAACCTATCATCTACTGTCCATTATATAGACATTATGAGAAAGTCAACATATGTCACTGCAAAAAAGAGAAAGAATGATTACCATTTCTCAGTGCTTGTCAGTACAAACCACAATGACTCACTTTCGTATTTTTTTTTGAAAAAGGGTCACTTGGGTCACCATGTGCTGGCATATTAACTTAATTTCTGCCAAAAGAAAGAGTCCATACAGAATCTGTCATTTCTTTTGAGTAGATACAAATAAAAATCTTTTTGATAGAGAGATTCCAGCATGCAATCTCGATATGTGCAATATGAGGCAGAAAACCTGGAGGTCTGCTGTTCTGAAGGCTGGAAGACATTTCTCTCTGCTAAACCCTGCTGTCCAAGTAGTGGTCACCCAGGCTCTTTGCCTCTCTGAGCCTCTCTGAGCCTGCCCTGATCCCTGCCCCAGATTTTTATCTTTTGAATTCTTCCTTATCTGAATTTTATTATCATTCCCTTCCCCATCTCAATACCTCACCATGGCTGGGGTCAGTTTAGGTCTAGAGTGACAGAATGTAGAGAACTGTTTTAGTCACAGATTCTGAGATTGGTGGAGCTGATGATGACAAGGAGCCAACTATTTCAACTAGTAGGTTTGCAGGAAGAGCTGGAGGGAGACACAAATCAAGAGGCAATGAGAGATTGTAGCCCCGGGGAAGTAAGAGTCATCAACTGAAAATTAGTACCAATCCTTGTATCCAATATGTCAGTGAAGTTAACCCTGAAGCTCTGCTTTGGGCTAAGTCTCCTTTTCTGTGGTCTAATAAAATAGTATCCTGTGTTTCAGTCTATGTTGACAGTGTCTTATAGTGATAAAGAGGGACAGGTTCTACAGTCAGCCACACCTTGTTTTAAATCCAACTCCACACTAATCTTGATACTTTGGGCAAGTACTTAAATTCTCTACACCTTACTTTTATGCCTTTGTAAATTAGAAATAATCATATTTTACCCATAGACTTGGTGAGTAATTAAGACAATGCAAATAAAATGTTTATCTAGTATTTATGTGTATGTTCATATACCAGATATGATATACATCATAAAAAGTAAATATAAAATAGGTAATAGAGTTTTTTATTATTATAAATACTGGCAAACTGTTCACCAAATCAATTTCCTTCTCCTTCAAAGCACAGAACAAGACTATTTTCTTCCTAAGATAGGTTGAATGATGGCTCTGAAAGATGTTCGTGTCCTAACTCAAGACTCTGTAAAGATGTTATGTTACATGGTAAAAGGGACTTGACATATGTGATTAAATTAAGGATCTTACACTGCGGAGATTAGCCTTTGTGATTAACTTGGGGCCACTGTACTCAAATAGGCTCTTATAAACTGAAGAAGGAGAATAACAAGTAATAGAAGATATGACATTGGAAGCAAGAGTTTGCAGCTATGCTGCAAAGAAATCATGAGTGAAGGAATTCAGGCACCCTCTAGAAGCTGAAAAAGGCAAGAGAATGGATTTTCCTCTTCAAGTCTTGATTTTGCCCAGTGAAACTGATTTCAGACTTCTACCTTCTGAAACTGTAAGAAAATTAATTTGTACTGTTTTAAGCCACTAAATTTGTGGTGATTTGTTACGATGGCAATAGAAAATTAACAAGCCTAGCCAATGTTGTGTATGGCCATATGAACAAGATCTGACAATGGACAGGAGAGAAATGAATACAACTAACAACAAATCTGGCCCCATAATTCCTCACAAAGTCTTCACCCTCCTTTTTTCTCTGTCCACCAGGTGGAAGCCAAGTACATAAAGACCCTTGGGGATGAGAGATCTGCAGGAGGAAAGGAGCATTAGGACCTAAATCAACCTATGGAAGACTACCTGCTAATATCCCACTTTACTGAAATGATCTTTCTGCCTATCTTTACTGTGAGACGAAACATATAAATGAAAAAGGATATACCTTATTCTTGTTTTTCTAATGGTTAACATTATATTTGATGCCTACCTAGAAAGTATTTCCTAAGGGATTATTATTGTAAGCTACACAAAAGAAAGGAGGCAAGAGGTCGGAAGTGAAGATAGCAAAGGCAGATTGAAAAGCAGAGGGCAGGGCAGGTACACTTTTTCAACACACAGGCTGAGAACAAAGTCAGGGTCAGGAGTTAACCCATAATGGATATTGGCCTGTGTACTACAGGCTCATTTACATGGAGAGAACAAGACCAGTCATCCACTACACAATTGGTGACCATAGCAAAGTAGGAGTGAGAGAGAAGTCTTATGAATTCGGAACCTCTATTCAAAGTTAGTAAATATAGCACCTTTATTAATCTCTTGATCAGAAATCACTTAGCCTTGCCTAAGTTATTCATTTTTTCATACATGCTATTTCAATAGTGTTTGGATAAATAAACCCATGAGATGCTTTCTGCCCTGGTTCACATGGGAAAGCAATATACAAAGGTTCACACTGGAATTAAAACAAAAATTATCCCCTGAAATAATCAAATAAAACAAGGCAACCATCAGCTCAAAGACTTTTATTGTCCCAAGTAGGGTCTGAGATTTACAGAGAACATTTGCTTTTCCTATTTTCAATCTACCTAAGTTCTGTATTATTTGAAGAGCAACCCAATTATTTTTAACCTAAATGCTTCTCTGATCTGGAACAAAGTTTTGCTTTTATCAGACTGTTCTCAGGCCTTGCAATAGGCAAGATCATTGTCATTGTAGTCCCAAGATATAGTCTCTTTCTCAGTGATGCATAAAAGGATTTTCCTCCCTTCAAATGATAATTAAATTAAAAGCAAAGTTGGAAAGGCAGCTTTGAACTGCTCTGATGAAAAAGGTCACTCACTGATCAGCAATCTGTTAGCACAGCTGTGTTGAGAAGAGACTTTTGAGCCATATCTTCTACAAGTAAGTTCTTCATATCAAGTGAGAAGGCCGTTGATTTTGCTTCTTTTAAACACTTTTGTTAGGGACTCTCAGAAGCCAGCAAACATACAGGCATTTGGTGAGTTTAGAGAGACTTAGGTAAAATATCAAATTATATTGTCAAGAAAATCCACAAGAGGAAAGCACCACTGAATCTATGATCAGGAAAACAAACAACAACAACAAACAAATTAAAAAAAAAAAAAAAAAAAAAAACCTGTGGCAGTGAGCGAATTTATGTCTTTTCTATTAGAAGTGTCATGTATCAGTTTGCTCATTTTGTTGATCATTGTACCACTAGAGGGGAGGGAGTTACAGGAAGTGGTTATGCTTAGAAAGTGTTACTCCTTTAAGTTGCATGTGGCCAACTCATATTGTATATTCAGTGAACTGATACTTTCCAATACAAAACAAAAACCTACATGGCAATGATCAAGGGATTTTAGCATTGTGTAAAGAAAAGAAAACCTTACACCCATGGCAATAATAAATGTACACTTCTCTTCTCAACTTCTTGGATGCTACAGCCAGTAAACAAACAGGCATTTGGAGAGTTTGCAGGGACAGACAGATAATCTAAGTTTGGTTTTAGACAGATAACAACCTAAGTGTAGCTAACGTCAGGTTTTGAGTAGCAATTGCTCTTCTGTAGCTGGGGAATTGGAAGATAGTGTCATTTTATTTTTATTTATTTTATTTTATTTTTTACATAAATTCACCCATTTATTATAGGCCAGTGATGTCTCAAAGAGTAGAAGAGCGTCTACTGGTCTTTCAACTCCTTCAGTCTTCTGATGGCAGACTTTACCGTGACAGCGGAAGTGATATTGTATGTCCAGGCACCGCCGGCCACTGTCTTCATGCAGGAACCACAGTGCCAGATCCCCACAGCTCGTCTCTTCATCTTGGTTTTGCCACAGAAAGAGCAAGTGTACTTGGCGTGCTGGCTGATTTCAATTTTCTTCACCATTTTCCAGAGGGAGGCCCCATAGCGAGTCCCGTATTTACCGACGATCCCGACTTTCTTGGTACGTTTGGCCATGTCGCCGCGAACTAGGTCCCTGTCATTTTATTTTTAAAGTTTCTTCATAGGATAATAATTTTCCCAATGGATAATCTTAGATTCAAACCTGTCCCTAATCATTTCCTTTAAATTCCAGTAAGAAAAAGAACAAACTGAACCTAGTGCAGAGACTGGAAATTGATTTGTTAGTCATTTTTAAATATGGCACATCATGTTGGCATTCACTTTAATAAATGTAAAATGACTCATTAATCTCACTGTAAAAAATATAGATGAGATTTCATTTATCATAGCATTTACTGTACATAGAAGTTTGATGACTAGTAAAATGATAACATCATTAACATTCACTGAGCAACGGCTACATGGCAATGACTGAATCCATGCTATATTTCTTGAAAAGGATGTGGGTTGTGTATCTCAGCAAATATTGGGGATTTTAGGTGCTTTTCTATGTCCTTTATATGCCTCATTTAATCTTTACAACAATCCTTTAAGGTAATTATTTATAATAATTTTATGTGATCTTTGAAGACTTTTAAGTATAAACTTTATATATCTTATTTAATAGAAGAAGGTCTTCTTTATAATCTCCTTATCTTCCCTGACAGGTTTTCCTCACTTCAAATCTGGAGAAGAGACAAGAGATTCATTCTCTTTCTTCCTAGAGATTCTTATGCCAAGTAGTGCAGAGATTCTTATGAAAATTATTAAAAAGTTAGCCTTCATCAAATCACAAAAGACGAATCTGTTGAATGGGTGGCTACTTACATTTTTGTAACTAGGAGGAGTCATTCAAGTGGTTCTTAAATGAAGAATTAAATCTTGCTTAAAGCTTTACTAATGAAAAAATATTGTCTGTTATTGTTGTTTACAAAAAGTGTTCTAGCAATATGAGAATTTTTTTCCAAAAAACACAAATGAAGAACTACATGAAGTTATACATTTATTGACAAAATTTTGTTAATAAAATAAAACTTTATGCAATTGGGACTCTGCAGGAAAAATCCAGCTTATTCTAGTCTTCCAATAATGTATCTGGAGTATACAAATCCCAGTATTTTGACATCTCTTTTAGTTATTGACAGCCTGTTGGAAAACAGCTCAACAGTTTCACTTCTCTGACTCACATCAAGGACATGTCATAAGATTTCCTAAGAAAAGGTCTATTCTCTGTTAGGTGAATTTTGGGGTTTGTATTGGGTACAGAATTATTTTGTAATAAAGATCACAGGGTAAAAGTCTCTTTATCTTTGACTTGCTGCATAAGTCAAAGACATCTAGCTTTATTTTTCCTTATGAAACGTTTTATTGTCCTAAATTGTAGCTACACTCTGAACAACAGGCTGCCTTGCCTGGTAAGTCTGCAGTGGGTAGATCCTAGATGGTCTTATGGCAAATAACGTGTAATAAGCTTTAGATTAGTGTTTACTCATATCAAAGAAGCAAGAATAGGTTTTGCGGTTTGAGGTTGAAATATATCAAACTAGACTTTGGATAACTTGAAAGTACCTTACAAAGGGAAAGGAGATCTCTAGCATCAGCTTTATGTCAACTTTGGAACTATAATGTCAGGTGATAATAGCTTCACTTTTGCTCTGGGTACATGTATATTTTCTAAATTCTAAAATATCAGTGATTTTAAGATATACCTTCAAGAATACCTTTTTGGGATACAGAAAATACCACAATATATACAGTAAATTTTGTTTCTAGTGGTGGTTTATTATTGTGAACTAATCAAACAATAATGGGGTATAACTAGGTGGCATTCCCCCTGCCCCTGTTTTCTTTTTAAATTACTAAGAGGGCTTGATGTAGATGTCAATGTTTGAAATGAGTTATTTGCAAGGCTACTCTTAGTTATGCAGCTGTTAGGTGAATAGACTCACGATCCAGAGGACAGCTTGCAGTGAAACTCTTGGCATAATGAAGGCTGCCCTGCAATATTCCCCTCCCCTATGGGTCCTTAGTTTTCATCACTAGAGAGAGGCACATTAGCACTTAACACCTCATCTCCCATAGTGTAGGCCAGGGAGGTCTAATGAAGAGGAGCAGGTGGTCCTGAACAAAGTCCTCTTTTATAGTGGTCACAGGAGAACGCATTAGAAGGAAATAGTCAAATAGGCACGAAAACTTCTTCAACTTTGCAGAGGAGGGCCAGCCCTTCCATACATGTGACTGAACAAATGACTACGGACAATTCAAACAAGTTCAGCAAGTTGCCCTTGGGCATCAGGGAAGACTTCAATGCAGCTGTAGTCTCTGATGGACTAAACTTCAAAAGTAAGTCTGGCTACCATGACTGAAACAATTAGGCTAGAATCCTGCAAAGATTTTCCAGTTATCTTTCTCTATCCTGTATCCATTCCTACCCTGTAGCTGCCAAATGGACAGGACATTAGATTGATACCTATAAGTCTATTAAGGGATGGATACAGTGAGGGGACAAGTTGAGCCTTACAATGCCCCACTAACAAGCACATGAAAATATTCAGGAAATGAAGTAGAACAGTAAAACCTATACTGTGTCTGTGTATGTCTGCTTCACAAAATTTCTGCATACAAAAATAATTTTTAATATACCATTGTTGATATAATAATATTGGAAGATACATTAAACAATAATTATAGATAAAAATTTAAGTTAAAATTAATCTGAGGGTGGTATTACCAAAGCAAAAATACCGAAAAAGTCACAATTAGATAATTACGTAAGTAAATGCACACATCAACATATAATGGCAGTAACAGATACTGTAAACCACACCCAAGTCTCAGCCTCGTGATGATCACATTTATTTAGTCATCAAAAATAGTAAATAATAATACATTGAAAATAGACCTAAGTATGTTATATTTTTAATATGTGTCCAAGAATTGTAATGTGTATCAAATTTTTTGTGAAACAACAGTAGTAACAGTAACAATAGTCTGTGAGAGCTTCATGCCCAACATGGTTAGTAATTGCCTTATATTTTCATTCTAATCCTTACAGCAATCCTTCAGGGGAGGAATTATTTTTCTAAAAATGGATCTTATTCGTTCATTTATTAACATATTTATTTAACAAATATGTAATGCTGTTATTTGCAGATCTTTCTGTGAATACGGGAGTTTCAACACTAAACAAAAGAAATGAAAATCATTAATCTCATAAATAAATAAACACACAAACTAGGGACAGTCATAATCAAATACTGAGCAACCACCAGAGTTAGAGGACAGAGAGTCAGGATGGGCATAAATTCCATTTAAATATGATGCTCAAGGGGGATCTTAAACCTTATCGATGTGAAGGATCTAGCATAAATATCATGGGGAAGGGAATTCCAGATAAGGGAAACAGCAGAGGCAAATATCCTGAAATGAGAGTGAATTTTGTGTCTTCATGATGCATCAACAATGCTAAGTTGCTGGGAACAGAGTGGTCAGATCAAAAGTAGAAAGAAATGAGAGAGAAAGATACACCAGGGCCAGTGTCTTGTAGGCAATCATAAGGGGTATGGAATTTTAATTTGAGCCAAGGGATGGCTTTCAGCAAAGGAATTATGTGATCTAATTTTAAGAGATTCACTCTGGCTGTGGAGGATTATGGAGAAAAATTTTGTGGAGAATAGACTGTAAAGGGTATATGAATGAAACGGAGGAGACCATGTAGAGGCTGTGGCTCAGGTGAAAAAAATTGATGCCTTTTACTGGAGTTTTTCTCTGTGGAGCTGATGAGGAAAGGTAAAGTCCAGGATAGATATTGAACATAGATTATGAAGCAGAGGGATGAGAGTTACATATGTCATAAATAATGGTGAGTACTGAGGTGGGTTCCTAGACAAGTGTGTGAATTATGGTAATAGTTATTCATATGCATAAGTGGAAGGAAAATAAATAGAAGTACTGATAATTAGCAAATTAAGTAATTTGCTGAAGATGGCCAAGAGCTAGTGGAGGTTGGACTTGGACCTGATTAAATCAGATTCCAAAGCCTATCCTCTTTGTGTTCGCTATCCTAGAGTAAATTCCAAAGATAAGAAAATTACCCATGTGTTTCCTCTTCAAAATAACTGAAAATTCACTGCTCAGCTTAGTTGCTTTCCAGGACTTTGATAAATCTACTGCACTATATCTCAGTATGAGAATTCCTGGGGAAAGTGGAAAGAAGATGTTGACCCTCTTGAACAATTGACAATGGATTGCAGATTAGATAAAACTGTATTTAATTACTAGGAAGATACTGACACCAAAACATAGTGATGCTATTTATAGCTCAGCTGCTGTAGGGAACCTGGGAAATAATGTGCAAAACCATTTTCAATTACCTTACTTTCTTTGAATGCACTGTCAAAGCATGCTTTCCATAGTTCCTTGAGGCTACTGTAACAAAAAGTTGTATTTTCTAACCCAGGAGCACTAAGGCAGATATCAAAAAGAACAAAGTAACACAGTCAAAGCAAATCTAAAAAATGTGGCAGAAAATGTGGCAGCTACAACCTGTGGCTTAACTGTGTTACAGAGGCTCCTTCTTTAAGGAGCTCAAGTAAACATAGAAGAACTCCAAAGTGAAGTTAAACAGGAAGCATTTGCCCCTGCTGCTCCTAAGGTTGTTACTGTTGACAGACTAGACCTAGGTCAGTTCAAAACCTCCTGGAATTTGTTCAGCATTCTTGGCACTAAGACAGTACTGATGGAACAGAAGTTACCTACTGGTATGGCAGCCTTTATCCATTATCCATGAAAAGTACCGTCAGATGCCCTGAGGCTTTAGAGAGAAGTAAAACCATATGTTCACTGCTGCTAGGGTGAGTGTAGAAAGCCATAGCCCTTGAGCCATACTGATGATGTTAGTTGGATAAAATGATGGCACCATAAGGTCTTTCTTTGTGAATTTTAATAAGTTAAATGTTCAGAAACATAAGGTTACGCACCCCCTAAGACTCTAGACGCACTAATCTATTTATGTTTCCCAGCATCGCTGGAAAGCGCTGCCAGGTGGGGGTGGATGCACTTCTTGAAGACTGAGGTAACAGATGATTTCTA